ATGCAAAAATGACTTTTGATGCAAAATGCATTTTGCAAAAGTTTTTCGAATTCATAACAAAATTAAAAATCTTTGAATAATATGAAAAACACGGGTCACAAAATCACATAAACGTCAGTTGACAATTAACACCTGAGAAGTTATGTGGATAATAGCTCCATTGGTCATTGTCTCGTTTCTTTCTCATTATTGATCACAACTATGAAAGCTGTTATTAATAATTTTTATTTTATTAAATAGAAAAATACCTAATATCTATTTATAGATTTTTGAAGTTCAAGCGAACACGGGCCTGTTGGTTATACCATTTGATTATATAATATAATATTTGCCACCATTAATCACTATCATGACAGGTACCTCCACAAAATGATAGTTATTATTATGAACTACAACTTGTAGTCCTTAGTTATCATAAAAAATATATATTCTTCGGGTTAAAGGCCACAACAGACAAAATGTATAGTTTATGTATAATTCATATTGTTCCAAATCACCACTCAAGTTCCATTTCACCCGTGTTGACGGTATTCGAAACTCAACATTTATTTTTATAAGTTGCGTTCAAAAGAAATATGACAATTCACACAAATACCTCAATTTAAACATTTTCATTTATTTTGATGACATTAATTATGTATAAGAATAATGCGTATTTATAAATTTCCTAATCTATAACGATAAGGAGTAACCACGCTACTGTCACGCACTGATTAAACTTCACTCTTTAAACTAGACACCACGAGAATCTCAAAATTCTCATTAACTTAATATTTAAACAAAATATAACAATATTGTAAGTTACACTGCATGTTGTATTAATATTAATTTTGAGTTTATTTGATTTTTCCAAACTTTTATTTAGCATTATCAATTATAGATACTCGTGTATAGTTTAGTTGTCATTAGTTAAAAACGCAGTTTCTGATTTTTTTTTTAAATATATCTCATATTTCATTAAACGTGGTCTAAAATGTTGTTGTAGTACAAAGTTACATATTATCTTAATTTTTAAAAAAATTAATTTTATTTATAAAAATGATTAATTGTTTCATCGTAATTTTCACTTTGTTATTTTGCCAGTAAAATATATTTCTTACACGCTTTCAAATTATAATTTTCCTCTGGTCTTAAGAATATATCTAATGCAGCATGCAATAAACTTCTACTACGGCATATCAAAAATGGATATAAATAATAATTTCAATTGTACATTGAGATGGTCCAGTGATTTTACAATATTATTGATTAAAGGTAAATTTTGTAAGTTATAATTTTTAAGTTATTAGATTTATAGATAGCACAGTAACCGTGGTAAATTATACCATATCAAATTAATACATATTTCAAACAAAATGTATGTATCTTAAAATAAATGTTCGTTGAAATCTCCGCATCGCATTTTAAAAATATTATAGTAATAATATACCTAACTAATAACATGTTACTTTTATATTTAGCAAAAAAAAAAAAAAAAATAGTAACTATAATTGTATAGTGGGTCACTTAATGTATAATATTGTAAATTGTATATTTTATATAAATATATAATATTTGAATTAAAAACTCTAATATGGTATTTTTGTTTTTGACTAAAAATAAATGTATCAAATTTATTTAGAAGAGTTAAAATAGTAATAGTAAAATGTATAATATTTATTAATGTCTACTATTAATATATATATTAAATTTCTCAATTTGTGGGTACCTATTTGAATGTTTTATTGATTATTTATGATGCCTAGCAAATGTGTTATATCGACTGGATAACGAACAAAACCAATAAATCAATGAAATTTAAAACAATTGTTCAATTTTTCAACTGTTCAATCAAACAATTTTCAAACTATGGACCATAAAAAAAAACTAGCATAGAGGTACCTAATTAATTTTTTAAAATTTTTTTCAAGTAAATTAAATTCATAAAATCAATATCTACTATAAAAATACAGAGTAATTGAAATGTAATTGAAATTAGCTTTATTATTTGCATAATATATTCATATATTCGTAATTCATATTTATAAATTTTATCGACCCTATTAACACTGTATAATTTTGTTAAGTATTTATATTTAGATTATGAGTATATGTCTTCTTTTTTAATAAAAATTTAATAAATATGCAGTTAGTTTTAAAGGTATATTGACTAAATGTGGACGCCTAAAATTATCATGCATCATTTTGAATAATTATTTTTATATGTATGTATGGTATTAAACAGATTTTAAATATCATAGTATATATTTTTAATCTTATTATACAAATTGTGTAGATATTTTAAATTCTTTAATTTTTTTAATATAAGGTCAATACTAAAGATGAAACTATAACAGTACTGGGTGTATAGCTATGAAAAATTTTAGAAGCAATATTAGAAGACTTACAGTATTTTTTCGGTATTTCTATATTTTATCAGAAAAAAATATAAAAATAATAATAATAACCACAACATATGGTATATCATGATTTCTAGCAAAATAATAAACCAGGAAATTAAATTTTATATGTTAACAATAACACATTTTAATTTTTTAACTCAAATAAATATTTTTTTAATGCATTTTTGTCTTGTCTGTTATAGTAAATATTAATTAATGCCCATTTTTTCAAATAAATGTCAATAATTAGGCTTGTCATTCGTCTCGGTTTCCGGTGTCCCGGCCGAATATTCAGTTTGTCTCAGTTAATAGAAGCTGAGAAAAAATAACATTTGATATTGTATTATTTAATAATAAAAAATAAAATAATATTGTACATTATATTATTATACTATGGTTATCTAATCGCCATGTTTATATACAAAATTAATGTATTTTTGTACTAGTTAATAAATATGTAAATCACAAAATTATATACTTACTTTTATTTCCCTATGAACGTTACATCAAAAAGATCATTCTATACAATGTTGGCCTGGATGGCCGCTGGCCCGCGAAAACGGACGGGGCATCTCCGCTTTTTTTTCTTTTCTTTTTTTTTTTAGTCTAGTAATTTTTTTTTTTTTTTTTTTTTGGTACGTATATAGAGAATAAGAACCTCGTAAAATATTCAACTATAATTTTTAGGAGCGATTTTTTTTTTTAAGGCCTTTATGTTTTTAATAACAGCATCATAAATTAATGTTAATGTATTATGCTGTTTAGAATTTAAACAACTATGCATTAATATATTTTTAGCAATATAGCTATCAGCGATTCAGAATATTATTAATATACCTAATATTAGTTCCGAAATTTGTTGCGATAATATCAATAAACATAAGTTATTTATAATAATACGGCGTTGGTACCTATTATGTTATTGAGTGCGGCGTGCGGTGGCGTGCCTTCTACACAAAAATAGCATTGATTTTAGAATACCTATCTAAAAGATTCATAAGGATCTATCTCCTGTATTTTCCGTGCGTAGGCCCCTTAGAGGGACGCAAAATGTCTTAATGCGACACTTGATGGTACGCACTGTTCTAATTCAGAACCAATGGTAAATATGAAATAGACATAATACTTACACTATTATTAAATAATAAATATTAATAACCTTAGTTATTAGGGTACCTATTACTTTGATTTTTTTAATAACATGTATCATTCTGTATTAATAATTGCAAACGACTTATCCCATTCCCGATACCTATTTATTGTATGTAGGATACTGTATTCATTTAATTATTATTTATTAAAACTTATGAATAGTTAGGATTATATTATATAATACCTAGAGAAAGTAAAAATGGACAACTTTTTGCCAGTACAATATTCTACTCTAAATAAATATTAATATTTTATACTATATAGTGTTATTTATATACATGTCATATAGTATGGACCTACAAAATATTTCTACATAGATACCAAATTTTTTTTTTCATGAATAATGTATAATTCTTGCAATATTAGGTATATAAAATAACATATATTTTATAAGTTAAAATAATAAGAATAGGAAACCATAAGAAGTTGTTTTACTTTTTGAATATCATTGAATCAATAATGGTTAGTTAATCATATTTTATAATTTCTTTTCTTTTCTGTTACCTAAGTACCTATAAATTATAAATAATTAAAAAATAAAAATAAATTCAATTAAATTTGGTCAGTCAAAAAGTTTTTAGTGTGGGTGGAGCTGTCCTAACAAAAAAAGAGGTCAGATAACTGATGAAAACTGAAAAAGTTATGCTACTGAAGTGCAATAAATTATTTATTACAGATTAATACATGTGTCAACTGTAAATACTAAATTCTAATAAAAAAAAATTATTTATATAAAATATACCTAGCTGTTTTTCTTGATATAAAATAACAATAACTACTATGCCACATTTATAAAATTAGTACATTTTAAAATACTAATGACTGTTTAGTGTGTGTTGTACATTAGGTACATTGTTGTCCAAGCTATAGTATTTGATGGTACTTACAACATACACCAAGGACTAAAAGTGCTACATTCTTATTCTACCTAATTAATTTAAGTAAAACTAGAGTGCTGAAATAAAAAATTAATTCAGTTTACTAATGCTTAAGTTTATAAGGTCAAGGTAAAAAGGTAACATATAAAAAAATGTACTTGAAAGTATCTTTAAATACTTTTTTAAAGTATTCGTATTTATACTCGTAATACGTTTTAATACTTTTTTTCCAAGTATTCAAACACGTATTTTAAATACTTTTGAAAATAAGTAACTGTATCTATATTTGAATACTTTTTAAAAGTATCTTTTAAAAGGCTGGCAAATTGTAAGTATATACAAAATACTTTCGCCCCCCTCCCTTGTGGCTTCTCAAAAATCGCCACTGCCTAATAGTAAAAATTTTTCCTTAAACACGGATCTGACGCGACAAAAAGTTGAAATTATCAGATTTCATTGGTCCATGCATACCAATCATTTCATTCATAAGTCAGTAAATGTTTACACGAACAAGTTTATTTTTGGTAGCGTTAGAAACACACACGTGCAAACCCGGCCCGGCACTCCTCCTAGATGTGTGCACGTAACGCAACATAACGCTCACAATTTATCGTCGTGAGAACGCGTTCGTCCATAACTAAATATCACTCTTATCTACAACACATTTTTATCAGCTTAATATAGTACGTATTGTACGCAAATATTGTTGTGATATTGGTTGTTCAATTCTTTGCGTAAATACGACGCGATTTCAATTTAACGTTTCTTTTTGATGTCCATTGAACGGCCGCGGTAACCGAACGAGGACCGAGCGCGTTCAAGACAAGTAGGCGTGATCAGGTTTTAATTTTTTGTTGCCGATGCTTGCGAATGTAACATTTTTACCAAACATAGGTTTGTGATTTTTCGACTGATGAAGTGCATTCATTAACAGACAGTTGAAATGAAGAACGATCAGGATGAAGAACTCAAACTCAGCAAAACTCATTTTGATGCAATCAAACTATTGGAAGAAGCGCTACAAAAAATGGACGGAATTATATCTTTAGGTATTTTGAATTCAAAATGATCAAAGCTGTTTATACAATTTTCCTTAACTATTTAACCTAAAAAATTTTATTTTTTTAAAACAAAACTATTCCTGACAAATATGACACATTAATTTTCTCGGTACAATATTGATATAATATAACATCAATGACTGTAGTTGATTTTATACGGTTTAACACAGTTAGTTATTTACTGTCCTGAAATAAAAATTCAGTCAACTGATTATTTAAAATTAAATAGGAAAATTATGTTCAAACAAATATAATCAATCTTAATGGACATTTCACAATTTACCAAGACATTGGTTCATAACATTTATGTTTTATTTGTGTTCTTTATTAAATTTAGATTAATTTAGATACTTTTGAGTTCTTATAATGTTAGTGAATACATTTCTTTATAATGTTTTGCTGAATTTTATTATTTTTTGAAATTAAATTGTAAATAGTCCTAAAATATATTGAGAATTCTAATTAAATAATGATTTCTAAAAACCAAATCTATGTTTTACTGTAGTAAATAATAAATTTAGTAGGTTAATTTATATTAATTTAGTTTTTAAGTTAATATACCTTCTAAATTAGGTTTCAAGATTATTTCAGAAGATTTTAAATTTATTTTGATTATTTTCATAAACATTTTGGAAAATGTATTAACAATAGTGATGGTTATAACTATCTAGAATTGTAAATATTATAAATATTTATTATAATCAGTATATTTTTATTTAATTTAATAATAATTTACTGTACACTTTTAAACATTTTACTTTTTACGTTATAAAAAATTACTAGTTCTTAAATGCATTAATAATTGTTGATTTCAGTGTCTCAAAAAAAAAAAAAAATTAATATGTGTTAAATATTGAATATTTATAAATATTCACATTAGTCTTTAATTATTTTATTTAATTGTGTTACATTTTTATATAAATTAAAATATACAGTAATATACATATTCACATTTATTCATTTAGTTTGACAATGAATGGGAATTTAATATTTGTTTACTGTGTATTATCAGTACACAGATATATTAATATAAAAATGTACAATATTTAATTTGTGAAATATTGAAAAACATTTACATAAATGTTACTTATATAATTAAAGAACAACTATTAAAATATGTAAACTTGTATGATTAACAGGCAAATTCAGTTTAATGAAGCTACTGGTGAGAGCTTATTATAATATTTTATGTAGACAATTTTTTTAGGTGAAAATATGATTTATGTGCTTGCAGTGTTTTGTTTTTTATTATTTTAAATAATTTGTTTTATATAATGACCTTATGTTTGCCTTTATTTCGGTTATTTTTTTATAATTTGATGTATTAAATCAAACATGTTTATTAGAGTAGGTGTAATAATAATTATTTATTTAGTTTTAAAATTATGTGTTTATTAAATATGATAGTTTTTATATTTGCATGAGCACTTAAAATAGCTAAATAATAGTTTTACCATTGATTATAGAATAAATAGATATCCATGCAATGGTAAAAAAAAAAAAGCTTGTTTTTAAACTTATTATTATTTATTATTATTATTATTATTATTATTAATATTATTATTATTATTATTTCAATAATAATATAATAAAATAATATATTATAATATTATTTTAGATAAAATATTTGTTGAAATTTACTGACAATAAATTTAATCGATTTGAATATTTGACCATACCAAAGTCTCTATAGAGCATTGTCCTATGGTCCTACTAGTCACTGTCATGAAAAGTTTACATAAACTAGTATATAGTATAATAATAAATTATTATCTAGGAGGAATTCTTAATATTAAATACAAAATGAAGAAACACTTAATATTTATACTGATATTTATTATATAATTACAACGTCAGGCTCTCAAGTTCAGAGTGACTATTTTATTCTGAAATCTATTTCGGTAGAAATGTTGCTAATAATGGTCATCAGCTAAGCTCGGAACTTCAGGTATTTGCATATTTGTCTAGAAAGTGGATATTGAAATTCTGATTCGATACAAATTTGATTCATAGTATATATATTTCAAATATAAAAATTTTTGTTGCATAATTTTGCATATTTTGTTATTTTTTGTACCAATTCGCATATTTTGGGTTTAAGAACATTTATATGCATTTTTCACGGATTTAACAAAATATTTTAAAAAAAAAAATGTATAGTTTAATTATAAAATATTAAATATAGGTTAACCAAAATTTTTATATCATTTGACAAAATAAATAAATTCATTAATAGCTATTATTTGTATTGCTCCGGCTCCCAATGCACTTAACAATAATATAATCTCTATAGTACCGAAAACTCGTAATAGTGACTACCGCCGGCCCGTATTTATTTTATACAAATTTACCACTGTATTAATATTTTGTAACATGATATAAACAAATTGTATAACCATAGGTAATTTGTAAACAATTATGTTTAACCATTAGGTTATCAGCTTATACACAATATTATTTCTGTTCGTTATAATACTACATACATTTGCATGCAAGCGACTTCATTATACAGTGTACACTAGTCAGAAGTCAGTTTATTATTTTTAAAGCAATTATTTTCCAATTTTCTACTGCATATTATACCTCATTTATTGATTTTTTTATAACGCATATTTTAGCACTTTTTAGGGCATAAAGTTCCGAGCCTTGGTCATCAGTCACTATGCATCTGTTTGGAAAGTCGTAATTGCAGCCGCAGAAGGATCTGTTAATAAGAACAAAAATGACATTTTTAGAAAAATTAATTGTTCATTTACACAATGCTGCCTGTCGACAGCTTATGTACACATAATTTTAATGGTCAAAATCTCTGTGCCATGGGCTATCTATTTATTCTATAATCAATAGTATCACTAATTAAATATTAACTAGACATTAGAGTCTGGTCTAATCAGTATATTAATGTTTTTTTGAGAAAAGATACTCAATTATGTATTTTCTAAAAAAAATTTTTTTTTTTGTAAGTACTGAAATTTTCAATATAGTGAAATTATTTTAAGCATTTCAACAGCTGTTAAACACACTATAGTGTTGTTATTAAATTAATTTTAATACAATTTATAATTCATAAATATTTTTCTAAACACTTGTTATCAATTATTTTTTTTTTTTATAGAACCATCATCAAGTTCTAAATATTCCAGCAATTCTAATGTTCAAACAGTATTAAACAATTTTATTCAACAAGTAAATTTAAAAAATTATATTTAATTGAAAGTTTTGAATGACATGGTGTTAATTTTTAGAAAAATGATGATGATCCTTCTTGCCATTTAGAGTCATTTAAACTTCAAGTTTCTGTGTTAAATAATCAAGTTGATGTTCTTGTAAGAAAATTAAATTATCTTGAGAAGTATCTTTTACAACAAAGTGAGTTAAGACAAAAAGCTGAAAATAAACTGCAAGAGGTAAATTATTAAATATTAAGAAATCTAATAAAATGTAAAATGCTATATTATAATAATGTTATTTTGTAGGAACTAATTTTAAAATCAAAACTAGAAACTGAAAAACTGGAAATAATAGCAATTTTGACAAATTTAAAATTAGTTAATTTGAGATTAACTAAGGAAAATATAGAACTTAAAGAATTACTTATAAAGAATAAACATATACCCAATCAACAAAACACATCTTGTACACCAGATGTGATAGTATGTATAGCAGTTAATTTTTGTTAGCTTAATTATATGTTATATTGGGTATTTGATAATTGATTGTTTTAAAACCATACATGCTCTTAGTATATACTTCTAATGTATAAGCGCATTTTACTAGTTTATATTTTCGTTCTATTTTTTAAATATTTTTTATAATATTACATATTAAGTATTTTCTAACTTTATGCTTATAAAACAAAAAAAAAAAAATAAATGAAACCTTACATAATTTACTTCACTATTAATTTGAAATAGGTATTGCTATTTTATTATTTGTGTTTTCTTTGCTTGAAATTAATATATTTTATAGTTAAAATACATATATTATTTGTAATATGTACTTATGTTTTGTCTGAAAATATCATTATTATTTTTGTTTTAATAAGGATTCGCAATTCCATCGTACTAAAAATCATGGATCACGCTTTTACTGCAGCTTGCCTCGACATATTGTTAAAAAAAAAAATGAAAGCATAAGCCTTAATACTGAAGTATTGAATGATATTTCTGAATCATCTGTAAATTTAACCAACAGAAGATCACAATTTGACAAATGTTCATCAGCTCCAAATTTAGGTGAGTATAGTGTTGGCACACGTGTCGTATGCTATCTACCAACAAATTGTTAGTGTCTTATGCTATCTTCGTTATTTACCATAAACCAAACAGTTAACCACAGCAAAAACCTTATAGATCCATGTTTAGATGTCCAAACACAGACTATTGAATGTTTATGGAAACACATGAAAGTAAAGTATGGAATCAGAGCTCATGGAGCAACTAATCTTCTTAAAAGACAATTGCAAGAAGAATGGTGGAAATCTGCCAATCAAAAAAATGTTTTTGACTTTTTTAAAAGATATAAAAAAACTATTTTTGTAAAAAAGTAAAAAAAATATGAACAACTGTTAACAAACAGGCTATTTAAAATAGGACAACTGTGAACCAACAGGCATTGCGTATGCGTAGATTTTTGTAGATATGATTTTCTTGGTAGATAGCATACATCACATGTGTCAAGTGCTATGAAACTTATTTTTTTTAAATTATTTGAATATTTAAAATTAATCTTAATCTAATAAAAAAAATATTATTTTTCATTAGTTCGAAATTTATAATTGTTTTAAAAATTTGAAAAAAGTTTTTTTAATAAAAATTATTTTTTTTTTTAGTTGATTCAAAAATTGATTATCAGAATGAACAAATAATAAATAATAACTCCAGTATTTTTTCAAGTACTAAAATTTATTCATTTCAAAAGTAAGAGTTTAATGTTAATAATTAAATCAAACTAAAATAAGTATTCAGGTTATTTTTAAATGTTTTAGTTCTAATTTACCAATTGTTGAGCGGAATCGTCAACAATTATATGATTGGTTTTCTGAACAAGGCATTGATTATATTTTACAAGAATCAAAATTGTGGCCGAATTCTGGAAAAGAACTGATTTCTTCTTCTATCAGCGAAATTGATGAAAAATTTAAATTTAAAGTTAGTGGATAAAATAATAATTGCTAATAAACATTTAAGTAGCGATTAAAAAAAAATGGTTTTAGAGCAGCTACAATATTCATACATATGAATACTGTATAGGTGAAAATTATTCATAATAAACATTTTTACTTTTATTTAATTTTGAATGAAAATAAACAATATACTATAAAATAATATTTAATTGATTGAACTATGAATAAAATAATTTTTGACTCGTAATATAGGAAAAAATATATGCTCAACTTGAATGTATTGAAAAAATAAAAAAATCTTCTAATTAAGTGTTATATACAATTTTAGAAAATATTTTAATATTCATACAAAATTATCCTTATATTCAAGAATTAAAAAATGTAATAGCTTAAACAGAAACACTTTTAAAAACTTTGGAATTAAATGTGTAAAACCATTGAATCAAATGTTTCAAAAAATTGTCTCGCAGTAAAAAAATTATAACTAGCATTCCTTAATATTTTTATATAATTTATCATATTTTTGTTATGAAATTAATAAATAAAAATCATATGCTTAAGTTACAAAAATGATGCTCTTATAGTAAGTAATAGAATAAAAATAATAATATAAAAATAATCTTGAACCACAAAATCTATCAGTAATTTAATTTTAAGTTGATACAAATAGTTTTGAATTTGTACTTAATTTTAGTTTGAGCGAACATCTAAAATATGTATTTATCTTACATGATATTTTATTGAAATTAAATATGTTTTAGCATTGGTTACATAGAAAGAAACTAATATTAGCTATTCATTGTGAAAGAAATCAGAATAAATTTTATGATGAAGATAAATATTTATCTAAAGCAAGATATTTAAATACAGCTTGGGTCCTCCAATGGTTAGACGATATTGGACTCCCACAGTATAAAGATACATTTTCACAAGCAGCAATTAATGGCATTACTTTACACAGACTGTCCAAAGATGATTTCCTTATGTTGCAAAGTGGAAATTCTGACTTACATTTTTCTAGTCTTCGATATGGTATCAAAGTAAGTATGAAAATTTTACACCACATAATATAATAATATATATTATGTATGTGTTAATACAATTGGTCTTATTGTTTTTTATAAAAGGTTTTAAGGAATAATAATTTTGATCCTGAATGTTTAATTCGACGTTCCAGTATTAATAAAAATGATGATGATTGTGGTTTATCATTGTGGACTACTCATAGAGTAATGGAATGGCTTTGCAGTGTTAATTTGGCAGAATATGCTTCTAATTTGCGAGGCTCTGGTAAATATTTAATAATTGTTTTAAAAATGTGAAGTAAAATACATTTTTAATTTTTATTAGAATTAATATTATGACTGATAAATATATTATACTGTTTTTCTTCATTTAGGTGTTCATGGTGGGTTGATTGTGTATGATGACCGCTTTACATCTGATCTTCTAGCTGATATTTTATTCATCCAACAAAGCAAAACTTTATTGAGGCGTCATTTGAGTATACAATTCAACCAGTTGATAGGAACAGATTTAAATCAAAAAAAGAGAGATGCTCAGTCTAAATCAAAGTATAGACCTTTGACAATATCATCAAAAGTCAAAGTAAGTACCTTTTTTGATAGTAATATACAGTTTATCATGAATTAAAAATAATTTTACTTTTCAAATAAATCAAAAAAATTTGTAAATCCTTTTTAATTTATACGAGTATAATAATTATTCAAAATTATTATCATGATAACAGTATCCATGTATCTTAATTTTTAATGAAATTAAAAAATAATATAGATTTCATTTTAAATGGCTCTAACTATAATAACAAAAAACATAATTTTTAATCTGAAGTCATTTAACTTAAATTAAATGTTACTTTAAAAATAAATATTATAAATTGATGATCATTTATTTATTATAGTTATTATTTTTATTTATTTTATGTAAAAAATAATTTACTTTAAAAATGATCTGTGTTTTAGATACAAAAAAAATCACAATTTTCATTGAAGCGGAAAAAAAATCATAGTGAATTGGCTATTGGTGATTTAATTTGTCCTATTGATGATTAAGACTATCAGTTTTTTTTTATACATATATATATAGTTAAACCAAAGTTAAATGCTTTTAGTACACAACAAAAAAGACTTATTGCTTATTATTTATTATTAAATTAATCATTTTGTATTTGTTATTACTCTAGTTATTTAATAGTTAATAATATACTAACAAAAAATGTATGATTTTATCTGTAACTTTAACCTTTTATACATAAAGGTAATTATTTTATATTTTTATTATTAATATATTAAACGAAGTATTGTTTGGATAACAAAATAAAGAAAAAAATTAGCACAGAATTTAAGTTTTTATTTTCACAATACAAATATTTTATTTTACTTATTATTAAGTAAAAAGTAATAACTGATTACATTTTAATTAATTAATAAGTAATGATTTTACTATTTATGATAACAAGTTGTAAACAATAATATTGTTGAAGCATTCAAAAAACTTAATCAAACTAAAAAAAAATCTACCCATTATAATACTTGACATGACAATGATCAACTATTCTTTTGACTTTTAATGACAAAATATATATTAGGATATCTTATTCAGATATATTTTTGTACAAAATTACTCCAGAAAAATTAAATTGTAGCTACTTAATAGTTCCAAATAATTTGAGTATATATTTACAAAATAAAACAGTGGATATCTAATTTATGATTTTGAATTACGATTACAATTTACGAATTATTAAAAAACTAAATTTTTTCTTCCGTCCGGAAAACTGGATGTACGGTGTTCCACTGTAATTTTCAGTTTACGATTTTTATCTGTATTGATTTTATAATACAGTCGAGTCGCGATAACTCGAAAAACTTGATAACTCGAATTGTGTTTTATTCCTGTAAAAAATTCTTTCCCTATCAATTAGATATTTCGAATAATACATATCTCGAAATGAATTTTTATCCCCCTTCAACTTCGAGCTATCGCGACTCGACTGTATATATATATATATATATATATATATATATATATCAGGGGCAGACTGGGGTAAGAAATCGGTCCGGGTGATCCTAGGTAGAGGCCCAAAAATTCCACGAATATCATTATACAGCATAAGTTTCTTTATGACAATGTTCAATCACCATCTTTTCATTTGATACACAAAGCTAAAAAACTTTAAAAAATTCTCTGTGTCCTAGATGGTCAACTGAATCATGCAATTATCGTAGTCGCTCCAAAAAAAAAAAAAACCGTAGCTACTATTAGCACCATTTGAATACTTTTTCCTTATTTCTAGTTAAATTAATGTATGAACAATATTATGGGTTTATTGTATGTGAACTCGTAGTTTAAAGGTATTGAAAGTCATACATAGCATACAGGTATCGAGTTCAACTGCTGAAATTTTATTTTGCACTTTTTTAATAATTTTCATGATGATTGATAACTGATACAACAGTTATTAACTTAGTAATTACCCTGTGACCTACTTGTGGTGGTGTTGCATAGCAAGTCGAGGGATATTTTCAATCAATGGAGCGAAGCGACGGCGCTGAGGAGCGTAGCGATAAGTGCCGTTAGCATGGCATCACTGACGTGACAGCTGCCCCCGACCCGCGCATTAACTATTCGAGTATCAAATATGTACACGGACAGTCCGTGTACGCTTTATCCACCCGGGCACCCGGGTATCTAAACACAGCGTATTTTATATTACTCTATCAACCATCACTGCAGCAGCATAGATAATTGTTGTTCTATGGTGTGTATTGGTGTTACTTTACGTCGCATTGAGCAAACTAAGCTGCAATTTTGAAAATTGCACAATTTGCTGATAAATTAATTACTACACAGTTGTACACATGGGCCCAATATACCTGTGAGGGCCCGCAATCATATCAGCCCATGTTGCGTTCGCCCCCTCGCCCTTTGGCCCAGTCCGCCCCTGATATATATTTACTGTATTGTAAAAAATCAATGTTACTACTGAAGGTTAGTATATAGATAGATATACATATATATAGATTGATAGACTTTAGGGTTCCGCGAAACTCAAACTATTTTTTAAGGGTTCCGTGATTGTAAAAGTTTGGGAACTGCTGATATAGCGAATGATCGGATGATTTCGATCAATCGGGACACAAAAGTACGTTTAACCATTGATTTTATATTATACAGATAAGGCTGTTTATTTAGAAACACGAATACTAGAAAAGTATCTCTAACTTTTAATAAAGCTCTGCTTCTTTTGTTATTTTTGTCGTTATAATATGTATTCTTAATATCTGAGTAACAAATGGTTTTTTCTCCTATTTAAAATATGGAATTAAATTAAATTATTCTTTTTACTTTCTAAAATATGTGGAACATCAAATATAGTATATATTTTTTTATCGTTAATAAAAAAAATATGGATTATTCTCGGTAACATTTAATGTCCTCAGTGCTTTTTGATTATTAATACATTGGTCACAAATAATAATTTTAGGATATAAGCCAGTTTCTAATAATGTCTGAAGTACCTACATATAATATTAAATCTTTTAGAGTGCCATGTTTGACACCTGAATGAAGTGAGTAGTATGCTATTGGTATTTTCTAAGGTGAAAATATACCCCTTGTCATGAACACTAATGAGGTGTTTACTACATTACTTAATCTGTCAAGATGTCCAAAATTTTCAAACTTTTAAATGAAATCATAATGTTTTAAAAATTCTAGATACTCTTTTATCGGTATCAAGCTTTATTAAAATGATTAATATAAATTAATGTTAAGAGTTCGGTAGCAGTACACTTTAAGATTTGTCGATTTTCCAGACAAATACTCGACAACGGAGCATCTGAGTTGGGTTTCAACTACCGGCTAATCGCAGGTAGTGTACTAGTTGGGTCCCGAATTTTTATAGATACTACACTAGTTAGGTCCTGAATTAATTTAGGTATTACACTAGTTCCTGAATATTTTTGGTAAGTACTACATTATACTAACATTTTCCTTCCCATTTTAACAGACTTAGGACTGTCTATGATCTATTTAGATCACATTTATAGTTAAAAATGTTTTTTATAGTTTTTTTTTTTGTTTTTTAGTTTCTTTCCACTAAAATATAAATTATTTGAATTGTGTTGGTAAAAGTATTAAAAATATTAAAATCATTTTGTAATATAAATACCTAAAAATTAATAAAAAATAAACTAAAAAACAAAAAAAAAACTATAAAAAACATTTTTAACCATACCTGTGGTCTAAATAGATCATAGACAGTCCTAAGTCTGTTAAAATGGGAAGGAAAATGTTAGTATATTATAGTACTTACCAAAAAATATTCAGGAACTAGTGTATCTAGTACTTATAAAAATCCAAGATCCAACTAGTGTAGTACCTAAAATAATTCGGGACCCAATTTGGATGCAGCCTTAGACAAATATGATGTAATTTTAACCAAACATTGAGAATTACACAAACTTCCAAATCATAACTGTAGATGCTGTGAACGTCTATTCGAAAATTGAGGAAAGATTAGCAATTACTGAAAAAAAATCAGCATTACAATATTACATTCAATCTAATAGGTACGAAAAGTGTGCTGAAAAAATGATAAAAAATAAGAATAAATTAGCCCTTTTAATTGTTAGCAATTTATACTAGAAAACAGTAGTTGTATCTTGGGTGAAATATTTTTTATCTATGTGGGAAATTGTAAGAGTTAAAACGCGCGATAATAAATAAATAAAAATATAAACTACCATGTTGTAACTTGATAATGCACGAATTCTTATCGTTATCAAATTATGTCGCACTTGTTAACATTTTATCAACGAATAATCAAAAGTGAAATCAATAGTCGATTTCCTTTCAATTCAAAAATTACATACACACATTTGTATTAATCTCAATTTAATTTAGACACAAAACTATCATCAGTGTTATAATGAGAATCTGCTATCAGTATTTACGCTGGGTAAGTTAAAGTATTGTTTTATATTTATCGTTGTTATTTGATAATTTAAACTGAGATATTAAGTATGCACGTACTTATTTCACGTTCTACATTACACTTTTTACATTATACTGTGACGTATTATTGCATTCGGTTGATACGACGACTGGGTTATTCATTATTTTCCTCTCGTTCTGGAAAAAACTGAAGCTTGTGTCTGAAATTTTAAATCACGTACCTTCCATTAACATCTGTGTTTTCATTTCAATGTACTGTTCATTAGTTGTTTAGTATATACTTATGTATCCATCCTTATGTCTTTAATTATATATTTATTTTATCACTATTTCCCATCCTACAAGTATATGTACTTTAAATGTGCCCATAATATTAGTCATTGAGTTCTTATTTAGTGTAGTTCTCCTTATACATTTGTCTTGTATGTATTTTCTACCCACGCTTCAGTTTGATCTTTAAATATAATTTACAATCAAAATACTTTTGTATAATTATATGGTTGCAATTTCATTTCTCTAGAGATATACCTTCCCGACAACAACTATAATCAGTATTATAATATTATCGCCTGCAACTTATTTTCATAAATACAGAACTTGTTGCTTATATATCAAACGTTAAACATACAATACAAATCCAAATATCAATTATTATTTATATTACTTTATTGATTATTAATGCAATTTTTTAACAAAACAGTTTTTTAATGTACAAAACAAATGTATTCATACTCCTATGATATATTATTTGTAAATGTATAAGTTATAAAATTTTATTTAACTTAAATTAATTGATATTGATGAAGAGAAGTCTTAATTGTACCAAAATCTCAAATTACTACTTTGTATAATAATGCTTATAAATTGGCTTAGGGACCAGCATTTGCATACTTTTTTTAATTATTGTTAAATATAGCAGATTGCGAAATAAATTCGTTTCTCGGTTCCATGATATCAGATCTAAAATTTGAATGTCCATATTTTGCATATTTTGACAAATTTTTCAAATTTAAAATTAAAAACTATAGATACATGTAACTATATATATATATTTCAACCAATTGAAAAAAAATGTACTAAGAGGACTTAATACTTCCAGTAATATGCTATGTGCAAACTACCTCTCATATCTCGTTATAATTTTTGTGTAAGAATGAATAATACTATAAACCTGTATTGACCGTATAACCCGCTAGATATCAACCAAATGTCGATAAAGATAATATTCGGTATGGAATAATAGATTATTTGTTTAGTGTTAAATTCAGTCGATTATTATCCATCGTTTTTGTATCTCACAACCACGCAAATCATACGTAAAACGTCGAACACGTATATTTTGTAACATTGTGTAATGCCGAAAGTACAACAGTCTACTATTAGCTGACTACAAAGTTTTGTTTTGGAGTTTAAAGATATATTTAAATCTGATGAACACGTTTTATTTTTGATACTATGTGGTCATTTTTTTTTTTTTTTTTTTTTAATGCATATAAATGCATATTTTCATGCATATTTGTGTATTTTTAGATCTATAAGTCCCTAAGCTTACTTATAAATTTTAGCTTTTTTAATGTAATAATAATTTTATATTTTCAGATTTAAAAAAAAAAAAAAAACAATTTGATTAGACGGATATTAAATTATGGCCAGTAATAATTGTTGTTTGCAATTAAATGAAGATCCAATTCAGTTTGATCCTGCTAGTGTCAGTAAAACAACAAATGTATTCTACGATGAGATAACTGAGCAGGTAAATCATAAACATCTTATTCAAATACTATAGATATTTTCAGAGAATAATTTTAATATTAATCAAAACAATTTGGTGAAAATTTATAAAATTTAAAACATTAATCAAAATTAATTTTCAATACTATTTAATAAACATTTTAAATCGTTAATGCAATATATTGATTAACTTGGCTATACATTTGTCATACATATATTATTCAACTTGCATTGCTATATCTAAATTCAAGTTTTTTTTTAATTTATTTCTCATTATTTTGAAAATGTTACTTATTATATATCCTTGTACTACTTGTTTTATTGTTTTAGATAATTACTGTTCATTCTGGTGAAATGACTGAAATAATTGTAACATCAAGTACTCGATGTAGAGAAAATATTGTATTTAAAATAGAAGATCGAGGACCTGTGTCTTCAATAAAAATGTCTTTAGACTGCAATATTTTAACAATGATGAGAACAACATTATCAGTTGTAAGTTTAAAATTTTACTCATGTAATATAAATACAAACTTACAAAAGTATCATTCTAAAAATCAAATTAATTTAAATTTATTATGTTTTATCAGCATTAATAAAATTAATTTACTTGACAGATTATTCTAAACTATATATTATGTAGTACACAGTTGAAAATTATTGAATTATTCATAATACTTTTATTTATTAAAAAAAGTAAAGAAATTTTAAATATAAATATATATTGTTCAATTTTATTTGTTTCTATAGATCTTTTAAATAATTAGTATGTTTTTTAAAATATAAAATAAAGAACAAGATTTTTAGTTTTACATTGAATGTAAGTTTTAATGATAAAATAATTATGAAATCCTCCTCCATTGTCTTATAATGTTGAATACATTTTCAAAAACTTTATACTATAAATATTAAAATTTAAGTTAAATTTTCTTACCATCAAGTACATATTTTTGTTCCAGTTATTTTATAATTGCAGATTAATACATAATATATGTATTAATCCATAGTTTTCATAATACATTATATATATTATTTCTAACTCTTAGGAATTAATGGATATTAAAGACAATACATTACAAAGTCCATATTTTTTGTATTGTAAACTCAAAAGTGCAAAATTATTAGGCTTCATTTGGACTAGCAACAATGAAATATTATTAATTAGTGATAAAGGTGTAGAACTTTACCAGGTAAAATAAATTTTTAATAAATTATTGTAGTTATTTAATTCAATTTTAATTTATATATTTATTTAGATCGAAGGACAAAGACCTAAACAACGTATTGTATTTTCAAAATCAGTATGCTTGCATGTAAATTGGTTTATTTATTCAAATAACTCTAAAATTCTACTATTATCTACTAATTCTTTTGGAGATTTTCAACCTCTCCATATTACATCAGGAAATATAACTAAACTAGCAAAGTTAGAAGGTAATTCATTCATTAATTTATTTACAACAATTTATTTATTTCCTTTTTTTACAGTTGATTTAGATATATCTCCTAATATACCACATCAATCCATTAGTGAACGAAATATTGTATTAACAACCGTGTACAATATACTCAGAATATTAGTTTTACCCACTAGTCAAAGTCGTAATGAAATAATAGTTTATTCATTGAACAAGTATAGTTTTCATATTTTATAAATTATTTACTATTTTAAGTTAATATTTTTAAAAATGAACTAAACATTTATGTTTGCTATAGAATGATGGCTTTTAAAAAATCTCATATCCTCAGACTGACACACAATGGTAAATTATTAATAAATGTTGTTGATAGTTTGATTGTTGTTCATTATCAGCATACCAAGGTAAGACTTATCAAGTATTTATTCTTATAAATGTTCTCTAATATTATTATTATGTTTCAATTATTTTTAGTCTTCTTCTGTGTTTGATATATATATGGAAGCAGCAAAAGAACATACAATATCACATTATTTACCTATTTTGGATGACCTATCTATTCAAAGAATAGTTCCTAGAGAAGGAGGATCATATTTTAGTTCTGATCTATGTATCCTTTAAAATACTTATTGCAGGATGGTATTTATTGTTGACCTAAATTAAACTATTGTTATTTATTTAATTGTAGAATGTTATTTCAAAATATTTTGCAGATTAAATTCAAAACATTTTTCTAAACAAAAATAGTTTAACTCTTACTTAGATTTTCATTTCAATGTCTTCTCTCACAACTTTTTTTTTTAAAATAATGAAACAAAAATATTTTTCTGTAACTTTAAATTAAATTATTTAAACTCATTAAAATTAATATTCTCATGTTTCCTTTATATTTTGTTTTAGTATTCAGTAATTTAATTAATAAAAAATGAAATAACAGTACATTTTATTCTGTTTAAATTTCCTAAATAATACTTTATTCTTAAAAAATACATTATTTATAAAAAATATTTATTAATATTATCTATTAAAAGTATGTACAGAATAAAATATATGTATTGTACAATAATAATATAATTCTAATACTTCTTTAACATTTATAATCATAGATTCACATATTTGTATCTCGTTTCAGCCCAATGTAATTATAGATGCTAAATTAGGTTTTTTGTGGTATGTATGTTTTATCATTATAGGTATTAAATTTATTTGTATTTTTATAGTTAGTTCATCATAGTTTAAATACATTTAATTATAAATTTTAATTGTTCTAGGATTTATTTTTACTTGAAACTATTGTATAATTTATCTAAAATGTATTCAGTTCAAATTAGTCTGTTTAGTACTTAATTTATGATGAATTATTAGTTTGTTTAATTTAAGCATGACGTGTAAAAATAGGTCATTTTTTATCTTTTTTATATATTATTTATTTATTAATACAATATTTTTTTTAATTTTTTTTTTTTTAGATAAAACTACATAAAGCAAACTTAATTTATAACTATTTTGATTATAATGATAACCTTATGATCTTATTGGACTGTTAATTTTTTTCATAAATAATTACTTTATGTATCTAATTTTTAGAAAAAATTGTTTTTACCTTTATTTTTAATTTTTAAAATACATTTAAATATTAACTTTTTATATTTCATTTCGTTTTCGTGTTAATCATAATTCTATATACATATTTATTATTTGTATGATTGGAAATTAAAATATATTTATTACATTTATTTATCAAAAAAAATTAAAATGAATATAAAAATATTTATATTCTGATATTTGGTTTAAAGCATCGAAATGTGTAGCATGCCGCCATTGATTTGACGATTCTACGATAATGTTAAGTTGCTCAATGCTAAGACCGAGATAAATTCAATGAATGTACTAGTAAATAATACTTGTTATGATATTGGTATTAATTTATTTTAAAACTTATAAAAGTAAACAATTATAATTTATGATAACAATGTAAGCGATAAGTCTGACGTTGGTGCTGATTCTAAGCCTTTTTATATGTTGATGGATGACCTCGGTACTGTATTGTCCATCTCCAATTAATTACATAATTATTACATAATAAATTATTGAAATTATTTTAATTGTATTTAATTGTAAAGTATACACCATGAGTGTACATCTCTTCTGAGTGTAAATCTTGATTACATAATACATAGTACAAGATACAATAGTATATCAATTTCTTATTTTAACAATTCGCAATATTTTATAAATTTTAAAATCTGTATTGTGTGCAGAAATTTAAGTATAAAAATGTAGTTATAAGTTATTTTTGTATAAAACAATACACCTTATGTTAAGTAGTTTAGTAATATATGGCATATTACAAAATAATGAAATAGAGTATAAACTTATAATTATTATCATCTTACGTTTTATATTGTATAACAAATATTACATTATTATTGATGATTATTATTATTAAATGTTGTTTAATTTTTAAACAAATTAATTTCTTTATATACATTATTTATGTTTTATTTAGTTAAATATATTATATATATATATATATATATATATTCAAATATAAGAAAGAAGAAAACTTGCTATAATTGGTATAATGTTTCATTTTAAGATGTTTACTGTTTTTGTAATAAATTATTTTAAATTATACTTATACTTAATATTTCATTGTATGATATATAATTGTCCTCATGTTGTTATAATTAATTATATGTCAACATGTCAACATGTATGTATATTTTTAGATGTTAGATAAAGTTGATCAAAATTTTAAATTACAAATACTTGTAATATTATTATGCACAATATTATAATGTAGTTGTTAATTTTTTTTAACTTCACTTAGTATCTATGGATCTCAGTGGCGTATTTGGGACAATTTTTTAGGGAGAGAAAAAAAAATTTACTATTGATTTTGGTGTATTAACATCAAAACTAATTATTATAATTGAGTAATCATAATAATGGAATTTAATTTATAATCATAGTTTCAGTAAAGCAGTAATAAAAAAATTTAGGGAAAATGTCCCCCATCCTTCTCCTCAAATACGCTATTGGTATATCTGAATATTTAGTGTTTAATTTTTTTCTAATGGATTTTATTTTTATTTTCATCGTTAGTTCTAGATTAAATTTTAAAAAATTGTTTACATTTCATATTATTATTATTAATATAAGCTACATTAAATGTTGTAAATATATAAATTATTTATTGGTTTAAAATATCCATGAAAAAAAGATTAGATAATATAAATTAAAGATTTATACAGTAGTTAGCAATCACATTTATTTTTTTTAAATAATTATTTAAACTATCTAGTTTTTGACTAATTTTGTATGATCTAATTTATACATTCAATACCTGCTATCTCAAAATCTTATTAATGTATACTTACATAATCATTTTTATTATTGCATAATATTTTATTCATTATTTATACCTTTTGTAATTTTGTATAATTGTGAGTTATATTTTTATTTGCAGGCATTTAAAACTAGATTTGGCAGTTGTTTCTCAGATTATTACTGATAAATGTTCCCTTATTGATTTTCTTCTTCTACGCCCAAATTCTAAAGACACCACATTACAGGTATTATTAATATTTATACATAAATTTAGTTGTAATCTTTTTTTTTAAATTATATTGAATTTTTGTGAATTTAATGAATATCTATAAATAATTAAGGTCATTTAGATAAATGTTTAATAAACCGTATGTTATACTGAAATTGTACATATACATTTTTTTTTTTAGTTAATTTAAAAAAAAAAGCATTATTTTTGGGACACCCCATACATTTTATTATTATACTAGTTTAATTGATATTATTGAAAAATTCCTAACCATTTATTATAATAATACGTTCATTTTATTAATATTTTCATCTAATAATTTGTATTTGTTAAAAAAATTGTTTAAATTATCTTATTTTATCTCTATACCTAATTACTATCAATATACATTTTTTTATCTATTTAATAAAAATTTATAAATGTGCAATTGTAATATTAATTTTAAATAATTAATATTAATTTATGTATAACGTAAACATTTTGATTTGATATTCATATAGGTTTTGCAAAATATGATATTACAAGAGAAAAGCAATTTAATTGAAATTGGAAATGTTTTTGATCATATAAATATTGTTAACAAGAAAAACCTTAATAAACATATAATGAACACTAGTGTATTACCGATTGATTACATGATTTTTGCTGAATCATTACGGTGCAAAGTTGTTATTGAACAAATAGATGTTTACAAGCATATATTTGTAAAACTGGTTGATCAATTAGAAAAAAATAAAGGTATATATTTAAATTAATAAACAATACAAATCATTATAATCATTTATAACAAATAAATGTATATTATAAACTACAATGAATATATTACTTATACATTTATTCATTGTGTTAGATTTTTTAAATAATTTATAGTTGGAAAATAAATATATTACATAAGTTATTTTTAATAAAATAGTTTGTAGGTATAATGTATTATTTTTTTAGACAAATGTTGAAGTTATTTAGATGTACATATTTCTTTTTGAATAATTTTGTAGTGAACTTAAAATAAATGCTAATCCTCATTATTATTTTGTTACAGGCGTAATCAGTGAGAAAAAGTTGGCAGTTTCAATCTTAGTTGAATACATTAGATCGTTGACTGATAACAAAATAACCGTTGAGCACTTTCTTTATGAATTGTTGATAAATTGTTTAGTTATAAATAAAATGTATTATCAGCTTCATCAAATGATTCAGTACCATATTTTAACGGACTCCAAACCATTGGTAATTTTAAATATAGTTCAATTTATATCACTAATTGACATTTCTCATCAAATTATTATCCATTGTTACAAAATATATTATAGTTCTATAGAAGTGATGTTGATTTATCAATAAGTAATATTTTTCAATAATTTACTTGCTTTGTAAATTGGTATCAAATTGTTATACATTTTATTTTTAAACTATTTAATTGTTACAGTTTTGTGCTGTTTTAAGATTTGAATTAAAACTTAATATTATATTACATTTTATAATTTTATCATATTATATACATTTTATGATGATAAATTTATAACTTTTAATTCTTTCATCACGTAATATGTTAAAATTAAGTAACAAAATCCAAATATCCGGTTTTGAAGACTACTTATGGTTTTCGTACTTAATTATTATTTGTATTAAACAATATAGACAGTTAAATAATAATATAATTTTTATTGCGATAAATTTTTTTGTATAAATACAAATTATTTAAGATGTTTTTATGTTTTGAAAATAAAATAAAAAAAATTTTCAGGCTTGTTTATTACTTTCGCTGGAATCTATATATCCGCCTGCGCACCAAATGGCTCTAGATATGTTGCATAGATTAAACACAGCTCATGAAGAGATTACTGAAGTTTTGCTTTCTAAAAAACAAATTATTCCTGCTATGAGGTAAGTTAAAAAGACATTATAATCTATATATTTTGAGTCCTTTATTTTATAGGTGTAAATTAAATACTTTCCATATTATAATTATCATAGTATTTTTCTATTTTTTTAACGCATGGTGCTTTTTTGGCTCAAATTCAGCTTCAGTGCTCTGCTGTGTATAGTGATTCAGTGTTATTTTTTTATGGACCGTGGCCTTTAGAGTATTGCAGTGCACTGTTTGAGAACTGCCTCTATGATGCGTATAATGTATGATTTTAAACTAGTTGTCTCTTAAAAGAATGACGTACTATAGGGAGATCTTTCAATGTCTAATAATAATTATTATAAAATCACACATTAGTTTGTGTATAATATTTAATTTATGGGTTATTAATAAATGTAGTTTTGTGTTAATTGTTTTTTTTAATTTGCAGATACATGTCCAAACATAACATGTTAGACCATTCTACCTATAGAAAATTAACCGAATTAGCGATTTCCACTAATGATTCGAAAATATTGCATTCCACAAGAGAAGAATTTATTCAAAGAAATGTAACTTCAAATAAATTTAATACAAATACTAAAAGATAATCTTGTAATATATAATGATGTATAATGGCACCATTATAAACTATGTAAATAATTAAATATAAAATGTATCTAAGCAAGTACTTGTAATATGTGTTTTTTTTTTTTTTTTTTCTTAATGTTTATATGATCATTTTACATTATTTATTTGTTCTTTATAATATTATAATTTTATTTAAATTTTTTTCTTTTGTTATTATATTAATATTTATTAAATTATTTTTTAACTCAAGACAATCATAATGTTACAATATTTATTATTTATACAATATATAATTTATCATATTAGATATTTAAATTGTTTAATTTTTTGTATTAGTATTTTTAACTTTTTTAACAATGTGCCATTTAACATTATTGATTGGCCTAGCAAATATTTTAAAATAATAAACACAAAAGTATTGCTTTTTGTTATTCAATATAGGTATTATTAAGTTTTTTTTATCACTTAACATTCAGATGTAGATTTACTTTATGATTTTGTACCCAAGAATTATTTTTATTGTTTATGACCAACTTTTCTTCTTGCTACTTATTATAGTTCATGTTTCAATACCACTCTTTGCTTCTGATGTATTTTCATCAGTATTTTGGGTAGATATTTATTTGCAAATTTAACTTATAAAGGTAATATAAATCACATATATACTGAATGACCACTACTTATGCGAATTTTAATCTGAACACACCCTTTTCCTATTAAAAAATAATTGTTTCTAAAACTGAAGTCTTAAGATTCTTTTCTAATTTATATAAAAAATTAATATAGCATAATTTATATTATTTACCGACAAAGTAAGACTTAATTTAATTGACACTAAGAAATCTTAGAATGATTGAGTTGATTAACAGTGTTAAAAGATAAAGTAAGAAACCACTCTATTCTGAACCTCAGTTATTACTTCATCAGATAATAACTTATTGTCAGGATTATAATTAGTTTCAAGCATTGTAATTTTGCTACGCAAATTACTAATTTCATCTTTAAGAATGATATTCTCTTATCTTAGATTGTTTATTGATGTTTGCGTAACACTTAATAAGTTATTAATAATATAAAATTTATTCTCATAACTCTTTAATTTATCACCTATAGATTTTAATTTACATCTTCTAACATCTACATCATATCTTCTAACGTAATTTTATTACTTGACTGTGAGTTGGAAGAGTTATTTTCTTTGCAGGCGTGTCCGATTTTATATTAAATGTCATATTTACGAGCTCTATCAACCGCATTATGTTACTGTGAAACGTAATACGCAAGATAAGCTCAACCGTTGCGAACGATGTCTAATACTATACTGATGAAATATGTGAAGAAATATTATTAACAGAATTGATGCACAAGAAGAAAAATACGTTATAAAACATACGGACGTTTGTCCGTTTCGTTTAATTTATTTAACTACAATAAAAATATAAAATATAACATTTTATTAGTGTCTGTAAAAGAGTTTTAGTCTCATTTAATTATGTCAAAAAGGACATATTTGAGTGGTTCAGAAAAAATAAAAAGGCTTGCGATCAAAAAAAAAAAATATTAGCAAACTGCCCAAGCTTACTTCATTTTTTACACTCGAAGAAACTAACAGGCAGACTGAGTTTTCGATCTCATCATATGAAGGTACCTCTAAGTTTGAAAGTCCCGATTGGATCCAATTTTAATGATACAATTAGTGTTTTGAGTTCATCAGCTTCAAATTTAACGACAGCCGTTAATACATCAGAGTTTAAAACTTCCAGCTTAAGCAACTGCGATTTAACAAATACACATATTGTAGAAAATATATCTCATTACCCTTGTACTTATTGTGATGATATTTTAACTGAAGAAAAATGCGATATTTTGATAATCAAAGGATCAAAGTTTTTCCAGAATAAAAATAGTGACTTCTCCGAAACTTTTACAAGTTTGATTCTTTTCTAGCTATACAAAATTACGGATATCGTAAAAAAGTAAGTACATCATATTTGTTTATAAATATTTGTAACGAATTTTTTAATATAATGGGGAAAAAAGTGTTTACAACGATTATTAGTGAAATAATAGCAGCAAAATACTGCTCAACATAGGCGGAACTACGGCCTGGGCCAACTGGGCCATGGCCCAGGCTAATTGGTTCCGTGTTAATGTATACATTTGCTAAGAATCTATTGTTTTAAATGTAATAAAAAAAATTAGATATAAATGTAAAAGAAAATTGAGAAATTAACTGTACGTAATAAATAGAATAGTTCAAATGTTAAAAATATATTTAGTAGTATAACAGCTGGTCATCAAAATCAAATCATTATCAAAAGTTTTTAAATTATTGATATTTATTTTTAGAAAATGTCACTGCGAGTCTCGCCGTATTATTTTCATTGTTCATACGTTCAGTACCTACGGGTTTTATCTTTTTTTTTATTATCGTTTATCGAATAATCCAAATATAGACATTATAAGGTTATTAGTTTAAATAGTTTAATATTTTTTGTTTATTTGACGACCATACCTACTGGTGAACGGACTGAGGATACAGATGCATGGTTAGCAAAATGGACAAGTAAGTTATTAATTTTATATTTATTTTAAGTGTTAAATTTAATTAATTGTATACTAAAGCATTACTAGATGTAAGATCTAGGTATTTATTATCTAGCAGGCCCTATTTTTATGTGCACCAACTCGCTTATTGCATACAGACTAACAGCAGTTAAGCCTTTTAAGAACTACAATCATTTTATAGAAAAAAACCATTTTAATTATTTTATTTTTAGTGTTATTGATAATAAAACAGTACAATATATGTAACATAAATGTAAAATGTAACATTATTATTCATTATTTATTACTTATTCATTTTGCACAGTTGTTCACAATTGAATTACTAGTTCTATTATATTATATTACTAACAAAAAAAAAAATAAATATTTCAAGTTTTTTAATACATATTTTGCTAAAAAAAAAAAATCATAAATATTAACATATTTTGACTTTTATTACATAAAAATCCGCGCCCTAGTTATAAAATTGTATAAACTAATATTGATTCTAATCTTGTCCATATTACAATATAAAACGATTTTATAAATTGTTTAATAATATACAGAATTGCCTAGGACAGGCATAATATATTCTAAAATCTATATATTGGTTGGTTTTTAGATATATTATCCGAAAAAGTCCAAACAAGGAATCAGTTAATTCCAATTTAAAAACTGTTGAAGTTCAAAATACCACAGCAATTGCATTGCCTTCTGATCATTTGAAATCCGAAAATTTGAAGTTGCAAACATCTTTCATTGAACATAATGACCCAGCTTTACCATTACCATCTGATCGTTTAGAAAGACACTCAAAATTAATCAAAGGGCCCTGCCAAGTCCACTTATCTCTTTATCCAAGAGTAAAATTCGGGGATCGATTTCGTTCTTTTCAAAAATCAAGATTAAGTGTCTTCTTTTGGCAATAGAAAATATGCGTTCCGATAGTTTATTTTATGATGATATTTATGATCAAAGTCAGCACATTTGTGAAGAACATGGCGTAAACATACCATCAGTCAGACCTAGAAAACTGCCTGCACGTAGAGATGAAAATTGGAAAAATCAGTTTGTATTTGAGACCAAGAAAGAGGAAATCCGAGTTTCTACAATGTATCCATTGATTGATTCATTAGTACAAGGAATTGACGAACGTTTTAATCAAGAAAGCACTTCAATCATTACTGGTGTGGGGAAAATGTTAAAATTTGAATTGAGCAAAGATGACATTAATTTATTGACAAATCATTTTGATTTATCAAAGGACGAATTTGTAAGTGAAATACATCTTTTGAAGGCACGAAACAAAGATGATATTCTTACTAATAAAGACTGTGCATTTTGGTTAAAATGGTTACGAGAAAATGGTATTGAGACCATTTTTTTTCAGCATAGAAAAGTATTAAAAGGTTTCTCTGTCATACCAGTCACAAGTGCTTCGTGTGAAAGAGCTTTTTCGAAGCTAACACATATTAAAACTAAGCTACGGACGACAATGACTCAAGGGCGATTGGAAAATTTAATGCTTCCATATATTGAACAAACCATGGCAAAAAATGTCGACATTAATGATGTGATCGAAGAATTTAAAAGAATGGTCCCATATGAACGTCGTTTAGCTTTATAAGTCTTAACTTTAAGATACAATTTTAAATATTATTAGTATCTGTATTTCACATGTAACATTTTAGTTTATATTATAACTTATGATACAATTTTAGATTTATAACATCAATAATTACCTATGTTATACAGTTGTATTGTAATAAAAAAAAACATTAATGTTCCATATATCACTCTCCACCCTTATTTCTTTTGAGTATGATAGGTGAAAAATGACTCTCATGAATGGCCCAGTCTAATTAAAATGTCTAGTTCCGCCTATGCTGCTCAATAAGCATCGATTCCATACCAGACTTGTCTCATGTGGACCAACTCACTTTTATTGTACGGTTTAGTAAAGACGAAAAGCCTATTGAGAGATTTTTGCAATTTTTGCCTATCGAAAAGCATAAAGCGCAATACATAGCAGATACGGTTTTAATCTTTTTGGAAAACCTAAAAATTCCAATAAAAAATTGTCGTGGGCAGAGTTACGACAGCACCGCAAATATGGCAGAAAGTATTCTCGTCTACAGAAAAGAATTAAAGAGAAATGTAAATTTGCAATTTTCGTCCCATGTGCAGCACATTCGTTGAATCTGGTAAGTGTCCAAGCGGTTGGATGTATTTCAGAAGCAGTAGCATAATTTCAATTCGTCCAGAAATTGTTCAATTTTTTTTCGAGTTCAAACAATCTATGGAAATTATTAAATAAATGTTTAGGCGGGCAAAAAATTCTGAAAAGCTTATCTGAAACCAGATAGTTAATTACGCTGATGCTATTAATGCTTTGCACAATGATTATAATCATATTTTTGAAACTTAATTATTAATCGCTAAAACACTGATTAATCAGCAGAAATGAGTAACGAAGCACAAAGTATTGGCTAAAAAATGAAAAAATTG